CATTTCCCAAGATTAAAGATAAGGAGAGAATCTTATCTCTAAAATCAGCAAGAGAAAAGGAGACAGTTACCTACAAAGGAGTTCCCATAACACTCTCAGCTGATTTCTCACAAGAAACCTTACAGGCAAGAAGGGGCTGAAAAGTAGTATTCCAAGTAATGAAAGGCAAGGACCTACATCCAAGATTACTCTACCCAGCAAAGCTGTCATTTAGAATGGAAGGGCAGATAAACTGCTTCCCAGATAAGGTCAAATGAAAGGGGTTCATCATCACCAAGCCCTTATATGAAATGTTAAAAGGACTTATCTAAGAAAAAGAAGATAAAAAATATGAACAGTAAAATGACAACAAACTCACAACTATGAACAACCAAACCTAAAAAAACAAAACAAAAACAAACTAAGCAAACAACTAGAACAGGAACAGATTAACAGAAGTGGAGATCACATGGAGGGTCATCAGCAAGGAGGAGGAGGGAGGAGAATGGAAGAAAAGGTACAGGGAATAAGAAGCATAAATGGTATGCAAAAAATAGACAGCGGGAGGTTAAGAATACTATAGGAAATGGAGATGCCAAAGAATTTATATGTACCGCCCATGAACATGAACTAAGGGGGGTGGGAGGGATTGCTGGTGGGAGGGGCTGTGCAGGGTGGAGGGGAATAAAGGGGAGGAAAAAAATGGGACAGCTGTAATAACATAATCAATAAAATATATTTACCAAAAAAAGTGAAGGGTGTATATGTTGAAAACTATTAAGACATTATTAAAAGAAACTGAAGTCACAAAGAAATGGGAAAATATTCATGGATTGAAAGAATCAACAGTTATTTTATAATGGCCATATTTCCCAAAGCAATATACAGAATAAATGCAATACCCATTAAAATCCCAATGACTTTTTTTTTAAAGAAAGAGAATAAAGAGTCATGAAATTTGTATGAAACCACAAAATACCCTGAATAGCCACAGCAATCCTGAGAAAAAAAGAACAAAACTAGAAGTATCCCACAACTTGACTTCAAATTATACTACAAAGTGACAACAATCAAAAAGGCATGGTATTGGCAGATAAAGACACTCAGACCAATGGAACATAATTGAGAGCTCAGAAATAAACCCACAAGCCCTGGCTGGTGTAGCTCAGTGGATTGAGCGCGGGCTGCGAACCAAAGTGTTGCAGGTTCGATTCCCAGTAAGGGCACATACTTGGGTTGCAAGCCACAGCCCCCAGCAACCGCACATTGATGTTTCTCTCTCTCTCTTCCTCCCTCCCTTCCCTCTCTAAAAATTAATGGATGAAATCTTTAAAAAAAAATAAACCCACAGATATATAAGCAAATAATTTTCAACCAAGGAGCTAAAAACATAAACTTCTGAAAAGTAAGCCTCTTCAGTAAATTGTGCTGGCAAAATTGGAAAACCATATACAAAATAATGAAACCAGACTGCTATTTTTACCATATACAAAAATTAACTTAAAATGTATCAAAGACCTAAAAATAAGACCTGAAATAATATACAGAAGAAAACATAGGTACAAAACTTATGGACCTTGGTCTCAGGGAGGATTTTATTAATTTAAACCCAAAGACAAGGGAAGTAAAGGCAAAAATAAATGAATGGGACTATATCAAACTAAAAAGCTTCTGCATAGTAAAAGAAGCCATTACCAAAACAAAAAGGCTGCCAAATGGATGGGAGGAGATACTTGCAAACAATATCTCTGATAAAGAGCTAATACCCAAAATATGGATATGTAAAGGTTCATACAGCTCAACGACAATAAAATCCAATTAAAAATGGGTGGAACCATGAACAGACATCTCTACCAAGAAGACATACAAAGGGGGATACCAAAAACCCAGAATTATCTTCTAAAGGGCAGACCCCTTGAAGTATAGGCTTCCCCCCACTAAGTAAGTGTTCTAGGAACCCATCTGTAGCAGTGTGCCACCTGGTGTTGTTCTGAGAGGCTGCTTTTTGACCTCAGTGAATTTTTTTTGAGGACTTTCAAGGCGTCTGCACATTTCATGAGGGGTGATTTACAAGCACACCTGCCCACACTGCACTGCATGTTTAGCAGTTCTTGACCAAAAATGGCATGACCTTTGTGACCCACCCTCCCTATTCACCCAATCTTGCCCCAAGTGACTGTTCGCCAGATGAAAAAAGTCCTCAAAGGTAAATATTTTGCCAATGAAGAAGAGGTCAAAAAAATGACAGAAGCACTAAAAAGCACCAAAACTGACGAGTTCAAAAACTGTTTTGAGCAGTAGAAAGAAGTCTTGACATGTGTTTTGTATCAAATGGAAAGTACTTTGAAGGTGACTCAAGTTTAAATATGTAAGAATAAAGACAATTTTTTTTATAAATAAATTTTGTGTTTTGAGCAGTTCTCCCCCTCGTATATGAAAAGATGCTCAACTCACTAGCTATTAGGGAAACACAAATCAAAACTACAATGAGATAACTCCTCATACCTGTTAGAAGGGCTATAATCAACAAGAAAATAAATAGGTGTTGGAGAATGTGGTGGAGAAAAAGGAACCCTCATTCACTGCTGGTGGGAATATAAATTGGCACAGACACTGTGAAAAACAATATGGAAGTTCCTCAAAAAATTAAGAATAACCTACCAATCCCTCTTCTGGGAATCTATCAGAAAAATTTGGAAACACTTAGTTGTAAAGATATATGCACTCCCTTGTTCACTGCTACATTATTCACACTGGCCAAGACATGGAAACAAAATAGGTGTCCTTTGATAGAGGATTGGATAAAGAAAATGTGGTACATGTGTACAATGGAATACTACTCAGCCATAAGGAAAGATGAAATACTGCCATGTACAGAATGGAAGAATCTTGAGAATATCATGCTATGACAAATAAATCAGAGAGAAAAAAACAAGCACCATGATTTCACCCATATGTGTGATGTAAAACTGAAAGCAACAAATAAAGAAACAACTTCATAGATACCAACAACAGTATGGTGGTTGCAGGAAGGAAAGGGGTTGGGGGAAGTAGAAGAGTGACCGAGATCTAATATATGGTAATGGAAGAAGAGACTGAACTTGGGTGGTGAGCACATAATGCAATACACAAATGATGTATTAGAGAATTGTACTCTTGAAATTTATATCATCTTATTAGTTAACGTCACTCCAATAAATTTAATAAACTTTTTATATAAACTGTATTTAATACAAATTTTATATAAAATGTATTTAATATAAATTTTTTATATTTATTAAAATACATAAAACTCAAGATCCCATTGGGCTACCTGAAAACATTGGCTAATATTAGAGGTCAAGGAGCCAAGAAGAACCAGCAAAGATGATTAAAAAGGATCAGTCACTGAAGTAGATAGAAAAAGTAAGAGACTGGTTTTCCAGGAACGATAAACTGTGTCAGATGCTAGTGACGAGTCAACTAAGATAAGGACTGAGAATACACTTTTAGATTTGACCACACAAAGGTTACTACTGACTTTCTTGAGTTCAATACAGGGGATTGAAGACAAAATACAGGTTTTTTAAAGACAAAAACCTGAATGATATGAGTTCAAGATCCAGCAGAGAGGGAACAATTGGTGATGTAGAGGAGAAAGGAGAGAATTACTGGATCGATGCCCTTGAGTAGGCGAGAAGGCATGGGGTCTGGTGAGGCAGTTGGCTTTTGGTAGGAGTAGACAGACAGTTTACCCATAGTAAGAGAATGTAGACTACATGGGTACAGGTGCAAGAAAGAGGAGGTAAATATGGTAGTGAAGGTTGTCATCTGATCGCATGTATTTTCTCAGTAAAATAAGAAGCAAAGCAGTCAACTGTGAGGGAGGCAGGTTCCAGGGTTTTGAAAAGAAGCATGAAAGACTCGTGTTCTTTCTTTATATGCTGCTGCAGGGTGTGAGGTCTCAAGATAATACACCACACAGCCTCAGGTTGTGGGGGAAATAGTTTTCTAAACTTTAAAGACCTAACTTTGCACTTCCTAGCAGGCCAAATCACTCTGTCTGAGTCTCTGTTTCTGCATTGGTAATGCCTGACAACCTTAGAGCAATGTTCTAAAGAGAAACCAGGGAATAACTCCTTAAGTGATAAGAGTGTAAGCCTAGAATTGAACCAGTCTCAAAGCACTGTACACAAACTTTTTATTTGGTTTGTAGGGCACCTTTGGGTGGGGACAAGTACTGTTTTTACACGTATTTTGTAGACTACCACACTGAGGCACAGGGAAATGAAGTGACTAGCCCAAGACTAGTAAGTGCTGAAGCCAGCATTAACTACTTATTCCAATTCCTTTTGCATCTGCACAGTTTAAAAAGCATTTCCATGCACTATGTATCTCATTAGGGCTTTACAAAACAAATACGTGAAGCACCATTTTAAGGCTTAAGAACTGAGGCTCAGTCACAGAGCTAAAGTCAAATCCAAGTCTTCCTACTGTAAGAGGATTCTGAATGCTTTATAACCAAGCTGTAACTATTGGGTAAGAGCTGGGTTACTACTGGGTAGTAAGACCCGTGGAAGGCGGGGTGGTGTGGGGAAGCAGCCAGACTTCTGAGGAAACTGAATGGCAGGGTGAGGTAATGGGACTGAGCTGTGAATGCCTAGGGTCCGCTGGAAGCTGACTCCACACTGTACTTGGGATTCAGGAAGGAAGCCCCGCAAATCCGGGGTCCAGAACGCTGAATTGAGCGTTGCATCGCCTCGCTGTGTTTCCCAAAATGACCTGACAAGAGTTAGCTGGAACACTTGTCAAACCCACATTTTCTCAGATGCCCCTACACTAGAAAGACTCTTCATTTTCCCTGGAAAAAAAATCACATGAATCTAATGGGACTTAGGAATCTGGAATTTCAGCATGCCCAGCCCCTCGGTTGTATTTGTCAAGCAGGTGTAATGACAAGGACAAAGCTCGAACCCAGTCTTTCCTGACAAGTGCAACGAGCGGCAGGGAGAGAGCAAGGGTCGGCCCACGTGCAAGGTTACCTTCTCGATTTTACCCAGGAAGAGCTCCTTGGCGAAGGCTCGGGTTTGCAGACTGGTGCGTAGCGAGCGCCGCCTCACCGTGAAGGCCACGAGAGCCGGCCAGGCACGCACCGCTGCAGTGCGCAAGAAAAGCCCACAGCAGTTCATGCTGCCCGAAATCCCCGGACACTTCCACAGCGCCACCTCCTAGCGCCTCAGTCTTGTGCACCGGGTTGCGCCTGCTGATGACGCCACTAGTCTGCGCCGATCAGTTGGCCACCCCTGCGTCGGTGCGTCCCACTCCCCTGCCCCGGGAAAACGGAGAGGCGAGATCGCCGCCATCTTGGTGGTTTCACCTTCACAGTGGTGGTGGGGGCGTGTGTGTAGGATTTTGTTTTAAAATGCCAAGGGTGTTTGGGGAAATGCAAGCCAAAGGACATTTTCTGGAGCACCGGTACCTACGCGGCGGCTTCGCGACCTCTACTTACCGTCCTCTCTCCTGTGAAGAGGACGTGATAAAACTAAAGAAAAAGCAAAGGAATGGGGAAATTTCACAAAATTAGTTATCTCTGGAGGGGAACCCGCACATGGGTAATACCACGGTTTTGAAGTGGGTTCTTGAGGAGTCATTTTGTTTTGATTCATAGTTTACAGATATGTTACATGTTTTTTAGGAAGAAAAAAGAAAAGGGATGGTCTCCCGGAAAAAGGTCTGAAAAGTGAGTTACAACTGTCCCTAGAGAACAACTTTAAAGGGCAGGCAGGGGAACAGAAGCTATAGCGGGGATCGGGGATCGAGAAGAGTGAAGTCGGGAAAGGTGATAGGGAGGAGGAGGTCAGACGTGCCCTGGAGAAGTGGGCAACCTAGTGGTCTTAAGTCACCCTCCTGCAGAAAGACTTTCTCTCCTTTCCTTACCTGTCATTCTACTTGTTACTTGTACGTGTTACTTGTACTTGTTCCCTGCACTTGCACAACGTACTGGAAAATGCTTTCTGCGTCCATCATGAACTGCTGGAGAACAGCGAGAACTCTCATTCACCCCACTGTGCCTGCCCACTAAAAAGTAAATACTTGACACGTGGGAAAGAACTCAAAACTTTACTGGTTGAAATTTATTTGCAAGCATCTTCTGCAATCTGTTGTTTTTTTTTTAATTTTGTCTTGTTGTTTATAAAGGTCTGTCTCCTGATTTTTTTAAAGTTTTTTTTTTAATGTCTTTTTAGACAGAGGGGAAGGAAGAAGGGGGAGAGAAACATCAATGTGTGGTTGCCTTTTGTGAGCCCCACTGCTGGGGACCTGGCCAGCAACCCCGGCATGTGCCCTGACTGAGAATCAAACTGGCAGCCATTCGCTTCACAGGCCTGGGCCCAATTCACTGAGCCCAGTGAATTGGGCTCACACTAGCTAGGGCTATTTCCTAATTTCGTCATCAGCATTCAGCATTGCAAGAAGGCATTCAGAAATCACTGCCTTTTTGAAATAAGGTGGGGGTGGGGGAAGGTGGCAGGGGAGAAACAAGGAAAAACGGTATTACAAGATGGGTTTCACTCTTGAACTGGTGTACGCTTTTGCCAAAACGAACGCCAGGGCAATCAAGTCATCTAATGTGTCAGTTGCTGTTTAAGTTAGTCAAGTAAGACATTCAGTGGCACACAGTTTCCAAAACAAAAATTAGAAAATTTTAAGGCATAATTTCCAAGTACTCCCGTAGTGTGTACAGTGGAAAATGAGTTTTGGAGTTATACTACTCTGCCAGTTTCTAAGCTTAGTTTCCTCCTTTGTAAAAAATAAGAACACTTATTTCACAGGATTTGGGTAAGGATTGAGTAAAATCATCCATATGAAACGAGCACATTGACTGAGGAGTTTTTCCTTTATAAAAATGAAAAATGGATTACCCTCTGAGGTTTCTATTTTGAGTATTAGCCTTGAAATAAAGGATACCATTTTTATTTTCTAATTATATTTTATTGATTATGCTATTACAGTTTTCCCAATTTTTCCCCCTTTGCCTCCCTCCACCCAGTACCCCCCCTTCCCTCAGACAATCCTCACACCATTGTTCATGTCCATGGGTCATGTGTATAAGTTCTTTGGCTACTCCATTTCCTATATTGTACTGTACATCCCACTGGCTATTCTGTAACTAACATTCATACTTCTTAATCCTCTCATCTCTTCACCCATTCCCCCACAACCCCTCCTATCTGACAATCATCAAATGTCCACCATATCCATGATTCTGTCTCTGTTCTTGTTTGTTTAGTTTGTTATTTAGATCCAACTGTTGATACATATGTATTTATTACCATTTTATTGTTCATAGCTTTAATCTTCTTTTTCTTACATAAGTCCCTTGAAAATTTCATATAAGAAAGTTTTGCTGATGATGAACTCCTTTAGTTTTTCTGGTCTGGGAAGCTCTTTATCTGCCCTTCCATTCTAAATGATATCTTTGCTGGATAGAGCAATCCTGGCTGTAGGTCCCCTCCTTTGAATATTTCTTGCCAATCCCTTCTAGCCTGCAAAGTTTCTTATGAGAAATCAACTGACAGTCTTATAGGGATGCCCCTGTAGATAACCAAGTGCTTTTCTCTTGCTGCATTTAAGATTCTCTTTATCTTTAACCTTTGGCACTTTAATTATGATGTGTTTTGGAGTGGGCCTTTTTGCATCCATCTTATTAGAGATATTCTGTGCTTCCTGGACTTGCATATCTATTTTCTTTAACAACTTAAGGAAGTTTTCCTTCATATTTTTTCAAATGGATTTAATTTCTTGCACTTTCTCTTCTTCTTCTGGCAGCCCTGTGGTGCAAATGTTTGAATACTCAAAGTTGTCCCATAAGCTGCTTATACTATCTTTGTTTTTTTGTGTGTTTTTCAAATTCTTTTTTTCTTCTTTGGAAAAAAGAATTTTTTTGTATTCTTTTTGGATTCTTGTTCTGATTGCTTATGTTTTGCCTCCTTATGTTCTAAATCATTATTTGGTTCTTGGCTTTATTCTAGTGTTGTTTTTCTATAACTTGTTCTATATTTCAGTTAGTATATCTTTTGATTCTGATTAGATTTTTTTTGTGCTGTTGAGGTCCTCACTAAGTTCCTTAAGCACCCTTATAACAAGTGTTTTGAGCTCTGAATCTGACAGGTTGCTTATTTCTGTTTTGTTTAGTTCTTTTTCTGGAGTTTTGACCTGTTCCTTCATTTGGGTCATGTTTATTTTTCTCTTTATTTTGGCAACCTCCCTGTATTTGTTTCTATGTTTTTGGTAGAGCTGCTATGATTCCCTGTCTTGGTAGTGTGGCCTAATGTAGTAGGTGTCCTGTAGGGTCCAGTGGCACAGCCTCCCCTATCACCCAAGCTGGGTACTTGAGATGCACCCTTTGTGTGGGCTGAGTACACCCTCCTCCTAGAGTTGAGCCTTGATTGCTCTTGACAGGTCAATGGGAGGGATTTACCCAGGTCAGTCAGTTGTAAGGACTGGCTGTGACCACTGACCACTAACCTTCACCCTCTATGGAGAATCAGCTGTGCAGGGGCAGGATGTAGCACTCTGATGTGGTCTATAGCTGTACACTGGGTAAACAGGTTGTGGGGCCACTTGCATGAGCTGTGAAGCAATCTGAGATAGCTGCTACTTGTGCTGGTCTTGGTGATTCCCAGACAAAGCCTATCTGTGAATCTAGGCTGGCTGCTGCTAGTGCCAGCCCTGGGACTACTTAGCTGTTGCTTGTTTGAAAGGATTTAGGAAACTGTGAAGCATGAGCCAAGACCAGCCATTCATATGGAAAAGTCATGATTAACAGCTTGGGCGGGCATAAGCTGAGTGGGACAGAGTCTCAGGGAATTTTCAGGGCAACACAAACAGTGTTAGCCAGGTTGATGGTGTCTCAGATACGGCACCTCCCTGATCTTTGGCTTTTGGCGGGAGATCTCAGAAACGTGACAATGGCTTCTGCCTGCCTGCCTGCCTGCCTATCTAGGAGAAAGCCGTCCACCAACTCCCACCTTGATGCCAGACACCTTAGTTCCTCCATGTATGCCACTGGTGCCTTTCAAGCTAATATCCTGGTGGAGCTGGAGCTCAGAGGGAGTGCATCTGTGTAATTCTATTTGTGGGTTATTTAAGGGGACCTACTTGGGACTCCAGAAATTTCTTCCCCAACTCAATCCCCACTGGTGTTGCAGCCAGAAGTATGGGCACTTATCTTCCTGGAAGTGGATCTTTGGGCTTGGGGGCCTGGTGTGGGGCTGGGACTTCTCACTCCCAAGTTATCCCTTCCGAAATTTTATCCACCACACATGGGTGTGAGACCAGCCCCTTCTACACTTCCACCACTCCTACTGAAACCAGAAAAAAAAAAACTTGTGCTCATGCTGGCTGTCACATACCAAACCCAATAAGCAGAGACAGGCATTGAATCTTTATGGGTGCTTTGTTCAGATGGCTGGTGATCTGAGAAGACAGCAGGTTCATACCCTAAGAGACCATCTTACATTTTCTTCCAAGCCAGCCTTTTTATAACAGGGAACAAAGTATGGTGAGTGATTTTGAAATTCAGGAAAAATTAGATTGAAAAAAACTGCAGTATTCTCGCCCTGGGCAGCTAGCTGTCCCCGGGCAGGCAGTCATCTGTCTCTCCCTGGAACACAAGGACTCAGATGCCTCCACTTGTTCCCCAGGTGGTAATCTTTAGCAGTGCCCCAGAAGGTCGGCTTTCTCTCCTGGGAGCCAGGATGGGCCTTACTGCAGTTTCTGAAACAATAGCTTTAACATATGCATTACCTACTAGGCTTGCTAGTTACAGTTGTAATAAGTAATATTTACCTTAAACTAAAATTTTCCAGATCTTGAGTCACCTATCACTACCTATTTGGATGGGCATGGTTTCTTAATTCTGTTGTCTGACTTCCATTAAATTTGATTTCTGACAGTTCTGAGTGATGGTTGTTCTATATTTTAGTTGGAATTTTAATGTGTTGAGGAGGCGAGCCGTGTTTACCTATGCTGCCATCTAGGAAGCCATTTTTAAACAGTTTGCTGTAGAAATAGACTCTTTTCCATAGTGAATGTTTAAAATACCCTCACTTAGTACAGGCATGCTTCATTTTATTGCACTTCACAGATACTGCATTTTTTACAAATTAAAGATTTGAGGCAACCACGTGCTGTGCAAGTCTATTGGTGCTATTTTTCCAACAGCATTTGCTCACTTCCTGTCTT